CACTCACGAAGCGTCAAAGGCCCATGTTTGATTTCTTAATTTCACGATCTTTTATTCTCCCCTCTTAAGGTAGTGCATACAAGTCCTTATTACCAAACACTGGGTGGGATTTGGACGTATTGTTTTGCATTAACCAGTGCTGAATTGTTTAGTAATACTCAAAGGGTGGTTCTCAGTCACACTTATCACACTGTAAGCTCTGCTTTGGGCCAGGAAAAAGCCGTACACGCCGAACAAAATGAAAACAGAGACCCGCACTTGCAACAAAAGAAACAAACCTCAGCACATCTCTCCTCCTTACGCAGTAAAACGTATGGAAACACCTTGGCCGTTCAATTACTCAGATTCTCACCTTGTTCACCATGATTTAGCACAAGGCAATTGCACTCGCTGCCTGTTTCTCTCCTTTGTCTTTTGCAGCACATTTGCCACAAACTCCACTAATCTGAACTGGATGAGTGCTCCACTTTGGTCCTATATGGCATTTACATCCAAACCTTTTCCAGTACTAATAGCTCTCAGTACAATTTGCATTTATATAGCCCCCTTCATACCAACATGATTTGGCGCCTTTGCACATGATAGAAATAAACCTCCTTCTTTGGCCTTGACTTACTGCCCTGCTGTTGATGCTGTGTGTGCACTTGTGTAGTCCTCTTCATTTGTAAGCTTGGCTGATTTTAATATGCCGGAGCTGGTTGGTCCTCTGATGGAGACTTGAACATGTGTAGAGCCCCTCAAAATGGGCCTCGAAGAGATTCAGCCATCAGTCGGGGCTTTGGTCTCTGGCTTTGGTTATGTGTTTTCTGCTGCATTATATGAGATTTCTGTTGATACAGCAGTTTTAGGCACTTGGCCTGGACAAAGAGTCATAAGATAAACATTTAATCCACAAATAATACAAACTCAAAAATACATATTATTTTGATCTATGGCTGCTGTCAGTTTGATGAAGTTTGGGCAACAATTTAATACGTTATGATAAAACTACAAATAAAAGAAAATAATAAGTAAAGAAATAAATGTTCACTGTGTTCTGATGATAAAGGACCTCCTCTTTCCCTCTGGACCTCTTAATCATTAACATCTTATCCAAGTGATAATCTCTCAACCTGTAAAATACACCCAACTGCACATAAAAACAGTCCATTCAATCTTTCCTATTTAATATACCACTAGCATAGGAATCAGATGGTGAAGGCTGAGAAGTGCCCTTAAATCCCAAACGAATAAAATTGGATTTGCCAAATAGAAGAGTAGATTGGAGCGACTAGTCCTCGTTACCTCTGGCTCCATCATCAGAGAAGCAGTCAGGCCTGCAAAAGGCCATAAATCACAGGACTTTCCCAGCTACTCAGGCCAACACACCAACCTCCCACACAGGAGAAACGAAGGGCAGAGAACTCAATGACTGACTGGACCGATGAATTTAATTCAGATTTAGACTGACTGGACTTTTTTCTTTATAGTAGTCCAATGGACATACATTCTCATTAGTAAAGAAATGGTCTAACATTTTTACAGAGTTGGACGTAAGACATAATTAAATCTGTCAAAATACATCAGTGTAAGAATATTAATATATTCTTACACTGATATAATATAATCGCATTTTCTAAAACGAATTTCATCACACAAATAATAAAAAACGAGACTGTCTGAGCACTTCATGTAATTTGTTAAAGACTTCCTATTCGGCCTAGTTATGACTGCCAGCTGGAGCCGCTTTGTAGTCATCCAGTAAAGCATTTTCTTATAATAATATTCTGATTATTCTCCGTGATATAATTTTTTTTCTCTTTTAATTTTGTTCCCAAGTCCTTCAGGTGACCGAATGTCATGCCACATTACAGGAAGCGTAGTGAATTTGTGTACATTAGTCCAACACCGCTCAGTCTTACACGTCAGAAATACAACAAACTACTCCTTTAGGTCGTCTAAAGCTGTTACCGCACGAGCCCCTTTCATTACACTGTGCAGCGGTCAGTTTCACTACACGCTGAATGGGTCACCAGTCCATCAAGGTCCATCACAGGGCTCGCAGAGATGAGCGAGACAGACAACAATGCACTCACCCCTGAGGTCAATTAGGGGCAAGAGTCACCAATAAACCTAGCATGCCTGTTTTTGGATGGAGGGAGGTAGAACTTGGTGAGAACCCACGCACACATGGAGGGAACATGCAAACTCCCCACAGAAAGCCTCCAGCCGGGATTCGGATGCTTTTGCTGTGAGGCACCTCGACAATCTCATGATGATGTTTTTTTCTAATAACAGTGTTTAGATTAGTTCATTCCTTCAATACAGCACGGTTAACTATTAACTAGGCTGCTTGCGTTTCCTTATTAGAATGACTGTAGATATCCTTATGCATTTGTTAATAATTAAATACTCAGTTATAACTTGTTCGTCATACTTTTTATATCTACATGTGTAGTTAGAATAAATTATTAGTTTCTCTTGATATTATTTCATTTTAGTACTTAGAAATACATCTGACTAGTTGATCATTAAATGAATCATCCGATCTCCTAAACTTATTCTGTTCTATTGCAAACTAATGCAATTACTGTCAGGTTATTGACCTTTTAGTCATTTGTTTTTTTTTAAAGCATTTGGCTGCTTGCCTCCTACATCCATGTTTATTTCAACAAAAAATAAGTTAACTTATATAGATGTAGCGCTCTAATGGAACTACACAACCTTGTCTTTATCTCCCCTCTGAAACAATGCTCCTGGTAAAAGGATAAACATAATGAATCCAGCACGTCCTCAAATAGTAATTAAAGTAAGGAGAATAGTTTGGTAAGCCGTGTCTATCCTGCCTCATTCCCAGCCCAATCCTTTATGATTAGGTAGATAAGTGCTGGTACTGGATGATAAACCAAACAACAAATGCCCACATTCCTCTCATAGCTCCTTTGATGTGTGTATGTGTGACTCGGCAGGACTCTTGCCTCTCCAAGTCCCCTTTTGCTATCAAACTGCCAAGTCATAAACAGCGAGGGATGGGGACTATAAAAATGATCAGGGGGGAAAGTAGTTCACACCTTCGGAGCATGGAAGAGGGGTGAGCTGTCAGCCTTGGAGGGGGTCTGTGGCTCTTGTTTGATGCTATTAAGACAGAAAGCAGAGAGACGTCGTGTGGGTAGAAATGTAAAGCTTGTGTGGATGCTACCAGAAATTTTAACCTTAATGAGTCCTGTTTTTTTTTCTAGTAGATTTCAAACTATTATATATCAATTTTTTTTATTTCGGCACATGTGATGAGTAACTCCTGACTTTTCCACTCGAATGGATTTGTATTCCTTACGGGATGTGTTTATGTTTCAGGACTCAGTAACTGATTTTATACGTCGTACTTTTAAAAATGTATAAATCCAATTTAAACTGTGAAGTTACAAATGTGGTCAGCCATGTTCAGATTGTAGTTTCTACAGTTCCACTCCACATGTAATTTCTTGCTTCAGTGTCTAAGTTATGACAAACCCTGATTAAATATTACATTTCCCTCATATCCTTAAATGTTTGCTTGCATTAATGTGTTTCCCCGCATATTGCTGATATCGGACACAAAGCCTCACTGACACAGAGAGAAGGTAAATCTATGAATCAATAACTGCTGCACTCGCTCCTCTCTTGTGTAAGGTCAGAGGTCGCACTCTTGACCCCTCAGCGACCCTGTCGCTGTGAGGAAATAACACGTTCCATCGTCCCAAACCTTCCCAAATTAACTGATTGGCCTTATCAGTTGACAGCTCTGGTCCAATTGTCTCGCTCTGCCTCTGCTCCTCCCCACACTCTCCTGTCTCTCCTCCATACTCATAATTTGACTTTTTATCACCTCTCGCCGAAACGGAGAGCTAGCCCCATCCGTCATTACAGCACATGCTGACAGCTCCTCACACATGCTTGGATTTTTACATTTGACTCTATTCATGGGCTTACTTTACTGTAACCGATTCAATATTTCTCAAATGAGCCGGCCGATCTACATACACGCCACAGTGGATGGGATGATCTATGGCATCGCCTTAATAGATTTCCCAGGCCTCAGAGCCCAGCTAGTGTAGGGGAAGGGGGCATAATCTGTGCAATAAAAACACAATTATTCATTCAAATTGCTCATTAATTTATGTATCTCATGTTTTCTAAGGCATTGAGGTTCATTTCTGTGCGTCACTGTTTGGGTGCTTTCTGTTTGTTATTTATTCTTATTTATGATTGTTCACCAACGATAGGCAGGCTTGCACCGTACAAGATATTCCCCTTTTCTCTATTATTTGTTGTGAAAATGAGCTGTTAAGGAAAATTGAAAGACAAGTCATGCATACGATATTGGTGGATAGTCAAAAGATTTTTTCTGGGACACTAATCACTAATGAGAAAAACTATGTCAACAGAAAATATTGTTAAATTTTAACAATATTGATTGCATGGTAATT